AAAGCTATTGTTTCTATGTTTCGGCTACACATTTTTGTAAAGTACCAGGTTACATTATTGTATAGTGTTAGCATAGTGCATAACGTGTATACACTATACATAGAGCGTTATTTTTGTCAGTCTGTAAATGGCGATCCTGTTTATACCAATAAAACGATGAATGAAGTATAAACATGTATTACTTTTTTTATGAATGAAATGTGTTCCTAAAACATCGAAATGTGTCCCGGGAGCGGGGGAAGCGATTTCTCGGGAGCCGGGCAGCGAAGCCCCGGGAGCGGGAAGGGGGGTCCCCGTAGTGGGTGCAGTGGGGTCCCGAGAACGGGAACAGCAGGGCCCCGGGAATGGGAGCAACGGGTCCCGGGAACGGGAGCAACCGGTCCCGAGAGCGGGCCGGGTTTTGGCCGGGGGGGGGGTGTAGTACCGGCATGTCCGACCCGTACACGGCGAATTTCCGCTGCCGTGTGGAGAATAATTAGGTGATAATTGCCGCTAAATTATGCATATTCCAGCAACGCACGGAGCGGTGCACGGCCATTTCCTGCCGTGTACGGGGATGTACAGGGATCGTGTCCGGGCATATAACGTCCAGTACACGACCTGCACACAAAAAGTGGTTCATTTCCGGGAGTGTACAGGACATGTACGGGACTGGACACGTTTCGTGTGCAGGTCGGAAACCCCCGGGTTCTACCGGAAACCTAAAATATCCGGGAAAGTGTGCGGCAATTTCTCACACGGAAACGAGGGATTTTATGCGGTGTAGCAGAAGTGATCTGATGCGACACATGCTTACTCACACAGGTGAGAAACCTTACCGATGTGAGGAATGTAACAAAGGCTTCAGCCTGCTGAGTAATCTGAAGAGACACATGCGGACTCACACAGGTGAGCAGCCGTACAGGTGTGAGGAATGTGGAAGGTGTTTTCTTGGGCTAGGTGATCTCAAGAGGCACATTCGAACTCACACTTTTGAGAAACCGTATAGGTGTAAAGAGTGCAGCAAGCAATTCAGTAGTCAACTACATGTAGTTTTATTTGTTTTAGTATCTGTAAATACACTAGATCTTTAGCGTTTGGTTATAGTTGGGGCATGCTACATATCAATGCATGTAATTTGTTTGTTTGTTTGACAGCAGTTCTGTAAGCTAGATGTAGCTTAGAGTGTAGCGTTTTATCAACTTTAGCATCTCAGTTTGGACAATAAAGCGCGTCATGTGTCTTATTTGTTTGTCATTATCGCTTTCATTTTCCATGCTCTACCCTTTTCCTAAGGACGTTGATTTCTCATACGCAAATCAGCAAACGTAACATGGTGCGTTCACATATATCTCGTAACTAGTCATTATCATCATTACGGCATCTCCTTCGCAAATATCTTTTTCCTCATTTTTCTCATTTTACCTCATTTTACTATAATTGCATTATTTGTAGCATAGACAATCGTTTAAACTGATATACCAGAAAAATTCAATATTCGACAGGGCGTCCGTAACAACAGAATCCTGGAGCCGGGTAATCAGGTTTGTCACCTTTAACCTTTACCCTCGATAGATTTAACCTATGATTATGCTGAACCGCCATTTTTGAGCCGTGTGTGGGGTGTCTTTCATTTCTCTCCAATCTGAAGCGATTTCCACCTTACTTCGGCTCTGTATCAACTCTGGGCAGTTTTGAAAGACAGGTAAGACCTTTGTTGACCACCTACACTCGCTGTGGCGGTACCAGGTACTTCAAATCGGTCGTGAATCGCGTGATACGAGCAATATAATGTCCTCGATATAGAACAAGGACATTATACAGTATATAATGCCCTTGATTAGAACAAGAACTAGTGGGTAAAATGCAACTGGAGTATTTAGATATTTGTCAACTTTCTCAATCTTAATTTCAACAATAAATTCAGGTAATATGTTGTTGTCTCTCAATCGCTATCATTAGTAGTGGCGTACATTATCCTGGAAGCATCAGTCATGTGAGATCATGTGAAATATGGCGGTCTCTTTTTACTAAGAATGATGTCTGATCAGTTTTCTAGTATGCAAATAAGCACGGTGCTTTCCTTTGTTGCGTAACAACTACGTAACCCACCGGACCGGTTTTATCCACCCACCCAGCCCCTATATAAACGCGTCCCTGACTGCTCTGTTTCTCTCAGTACTGACTCTGCAGCCGTGAGGATCTGTGTCGTCGTGAAAACATCGTGCAGTACTTTGCAGCGTCGGTGCATCTTGGTAAGTGCCGAATTTTCCAGTATTTTCTTTATCTGTAACTTCAATGCGGCATATATTTGTAGGCTAATTTATAAATCGGCGGACGAAGAACTTTTCATTCTTGGCTATTCATGCTAATCTGCCTGCTTGAATCATTATCATCTCCGATGATCGAAACCAGGTTTAACGCCACACAAACCCAACTATAAATTTCTATAAACCCAAATCGATACATGTTTAGGTGCATTTGTCAGTATGCAAGTTATACACCATATAAATTTCGTGAACCTCTGATATATATTTCAATGAATTTTTTTTCTTCATTCCTGCAGGATCAGTAGTTTAACATGGCTGCCAGAGCTGCATCTCATTTGGACGGAGAGAATGGACGTGGGGAGCAGGATTCTCCGCGTACCCACAAGTGTAGCGGGTGTGGCAAGGATTTTCGTTACCCGAGTCATCTGAAGCAGCACATGCGGACTCACACAGGTGAGAAACCTTACCGGTGTGATGACTGCGGCAAGCAGTGCAGCACGCTGAGTAATCTGAAGAAGCACATTAGGACTCACACTGGAGAGAAACCATACAGATGTGAGGAATGCAGCAAGCAGTTTGCACAGTTATCAACAATAGACACTTGTTGACTCACACAGGTGAGAAACCGTACAGGTGTGAGGAGTGTGGTAGACAGTTTCGTGATCTGGGAGATCTAAAGAGGCACATAAGGACTCACACAGGTGAGAAGCCGTACAAATGTGAGGAGTGCAGTCGGTCGTTTAGCAGACTGTCAGATGTAAAGAGACACATGCGGACTCACACTGGTGCGACACATTATAGATGTGAGGAATGCAGTAAGCAGTTCGGCAGGCTGGGTCATCTGAAGTAGCACATGCGGACTCACACTGGTGAGAAACCATACAGATGTAAAGAGTGCGGCAAGCAGTTCAGTACACTGACAGATCTAAAGAGGCACATGCGGACTCACACTGGCGAAAAACCGCACAAATGCGGGGAGTGCAGCAGGCAGTTCAGCGAGCTCGGTCATCTGAAGACTCATATGAGAACTCACACCGGCGAGAAACCCTACAGGTCTGAGAAGTGCAGTAGGCAGTTCAGTCAGCTGGGACATCTAAAGGAGCACATGCGGACTCACACTGGTGAAAAACCATACATTTGTGAAGAGTGTAGCAGACAGTTCAGTGACCTGGGGAATCTGAAGAGACACATGTGGACTCACACAGGTGAGAAACCGTACAGGTGTGAGGAGTGCAGCCGGTCGTTTAGTGCACTGTCAGATCTAAAGAGACACATGCGGACTCACACTGGTGAGAAACCGTACAGATGTGAGGAGTGCAGCAGGCAGTTCACCACAAGCAGCAGTTTAAAGAGACACGTCGTGCGAACTCACAGAGCGCAGAAACCGTACATGTGTTAAAAAGGCAACAAAAACTTTCGTAAGAGTGCCAACTTCCGCGAAAGACTGTGTGTCTTTGTAACGGTTACTGAGTGGCGATGTTTTAAATGTCCTGACTGTTTGATCTAGTAGTATACTCTCTACATGATTCCACTGTGAAGTTATAGCGCAATAGCGGTGATTTTATATAACGATTGATGGATGCTTCGTAGCCTGTTGATAGAGCTAGAAGTCGTGTGCAAAATGCAATACTGTAGTACTGTAGTTAGATAATAGTTACATGACAGGACACCGTTCATTTAACGTCAAAATGTCACTGTCCGTCTGTTATAAAACTTAGTCAACTACATGTAGTTCTCTTTGTTTTAGTATCTGTAAAATATACTAGATCTTTAGCGTTTGGTTACAGTTGGGGCATGTTATTTATTAATGCATGAAAATGTTGCTTGTTTGTTTGTTTGACAGCAGTTCTGTAAGCTAGAGGTAGCTTAGAGTTAGAGATTTGTCAACGTTTTGCTCCTCAGTTTCAACAATAAAGCGCGTTATGTGCCGTATTTATTTGTCATCCTCGCTGTCTATGCTGTACCTTTTTCCTAAGGACGTTCTCTGACTCCTATGCAAATCAGCGCGTGTAACATGATGCGTTCACCATCTTGACCAAGTTGTACTCTTTAAATTTCCTAACTATTAAGGGTGTTGTCCCCTATTCATATGTCCCCTAAATCATTTTATATTTTTTATTTGCTTGGACTATAGAGGGTGATTTTTTTTCTTTACTCATAGTGGTTTTTTTTTGTATAGTAGTATATTAATTTGAACACGTAAGCTTGCAACTTAGAGAAGACATTTATTCTGAAATGGATGTTGCTCAGTCTTCAAGCATTTATCGACTCTGAAATTTAATTCTTGGTCAGACGCGCCAGACAAAATCTCTCCAAAGTCGTCGTTCAACCACCTGACGTGTTTTGTATTGTGTGCAAAATAAGTTAGAGCTACAAGGCATTGATCGTATTCATGGTTGGCCGCCTTGATTGAGGAATTTACTAACAGCTTTAAAGCTATGTGTATGATATATTTTCAAACTACTATGTCAATGATGGCCATTTGACATAGTGTGTAAAAGTTTGCCGACACGAAACAGCCTCCATTGTATATGCAGACAATCGTCCCTTTGATCTCAGTTTTAACAATAAGATAAAACACATAATATGCATGTTGTTTTCTTTATCGTTATTGTCTAACTGATTGTATCTTTATGTAATGATGTTGTCTGGTTTGCCTTATGCAAATCTGTACATGAATATACTTTCCTTTGTTTCGTAATCAAGTAAAACCTACCGGACCGGTTTTATCCACCCACTCAGTCCCTATATAAACGCGCTCCTGACTGCTCTGTTTCTGTCAGTACTGACTCTGCAGCCGTGAGGATCTGTGTCGTCGTGAAAACATCGTGAAGTACTTTCAAGAGCGTACTAGGTAAGTGTTGACTATGATTATGTTTTCCTTTACTACGTTTATTTGCCTTATGGCATTTTGTTCGTTGTAGATTAAAACTGGCCGCGGAATACTATTTGTATCTACATTCAAACTTACTTGTCAATACTTTCTGCTAAAAGACCTTGTGGTGTGGCTAAGACCAAGGACATTATACACAGATAATGTCCTTGCTAAGAACTTGACGCGTCTGCATGAAACCAGATTCGGATTTTGTTAAATGCTTCTAAATCTGCATGCAGAGAACTTCATTTACGTCGTCCCCATTTTGACTTACTTGTTACAATGTAACCTGTGCTAGCCCTGCTCTTATCCTGTCGTTCAAAAACTATGCCATTATGTAAATCAATCGTAACTTGTGTTGATTAACAGTTGCAAGAACATTTACACATTTTTAGTATACACGTTATACAGTATACGCGATTGTCAATTCCATTCATCTGACATATTGAATTTTACATATTCCCGTAGGATCAGGAGTTTGACCAACATGGCGGCCAGAGCTGAATGTCATCAGAAACAAGTCGAGGGAGAGAATGGGCGCAGAGAGAAGGATTCTCCGCGTACCCACAAGTGCGGTGAGTGTGGGAAGAAGTTTCGCTTCCTGAGTCATCTGAAGAGACACGTGCGGACTCACACAGGAGAGAAACCGCACAGATGCAAGGAGTGCAGCAAGCAGTTTAGTCGACTGAGTGCTCTAAAGAGGCAAATTCGAACTCACGCTGGTGAGAAACCCTACAGATGTGAAGTATGTATCAGGCAGTTCGGTGGCCTGGCTGATTTAAAGAGACAAATGCGGACTCACACAGGGGAGAAACTGTACAAGTGTGAGGAGTGCAGCCTGTCGTTTAGTGCACTGTCAGATCTTAAGAGACATGTGCGGACTCACACAGGTGAGAAACCGTACAGGTGCGAAGAGTGCAGGAGACAGTTCAGCGACTCGCGTAATCTGAAGAGACACATGCGGACCCACACAGGTGAGAAACCGTACAAGTGTGAGGTGTGCAACATGCAGTTCAGCAGACTGGATAATATAAAGAAGCACGCGAGAAGTCACATTGGTGAGAAACCGTACAGATGTGAGGAGTGCAGCTAGCAGTTTAGTCAGTTTAACAATCTAAAAAAAAAAACACATGTTCACTCACACAGGTGAAAAAACCGTACAGGTGTGAAGAGTGCAGCAAGCAGTTTATTCGACTGTCAAATTCAAAGGCACATATGTCGACTCACACAACAAAAGTCGCACATGTCTGAAAAATGCAACAAAAGCTTTCGGCATTCAAGTGAGTTCACGATTACACCGGCGAAAATTTGGTTTAAAAGCCTGTGTAACGATTGCATTATGTAGCAATTATGGGGCGCCTGTGGCAAGGTCTGTACTTGATGAATGGACTGGGTCGTTCCCTGTGTCATTCTTTTATTCTCTACCGATGAGAAATCTTACTTACTGTTTTTACTGAGTGTTTTTTTTTTTCAGTTTCTTACTCTCTACTTGACTTCAGTGTAATACTAAGAATAACGTAATTTTTACCCACTATTGTTGTATGCTCTGTAGACCGTTGCTTAGAATGTTATATTTAGAATTAGTTAGCAGCATACGTGTTAGTTCCACATGCATTTAAATGTTGGTAGATATGGTTTGTTTCAAATTGTTCTGTAAAATACATATGTAGCTGTTAGAGGTTTGTCAACTTTCTGCATATCAGTTTCACCAATAAATCAAAACACGTAATGTGTTGTCTTCTTTCTTGAACTTTTTCCTAAAGATGTTGTCTAATTTGCCCCTATGAAAATCAGCGCATACAACATGATAATTTCAACAACAAATTCCAACACGTAATACTAGTATGTTGTTGTTTTTATTGATCACCAACTTTATTGTTAGTCTCCAACTTGTTGTCTTTTTACTACAAATGATGCTGTCTGATTCCATATGCAAATCAGCATGGTGATTGTACTCGGTCTCTTTTTTAAGTACGAATGATGTTGTCTGATTCTTCCCTATGCAAATCAGCACGGTGCTTTTCTTTGTTTCTTGGACAAGTAAAATCCACCGGACCGGTTTTATCCACCCACTCAGTCCCTGTATAAACGCGTCCCTGACTGCTCTGCTTCTGTCAGTACTGACTCTGCAGCCGTGAGGATCTGTGTCGGCGTGAAAACATCTTACAGTACTTTGGAGCGTCCGTGCACCTTGGTAAGTGTCACATATGCTACGGTTCCATGTGTAGTAATGTTGTAGTTACGTTTAATAGGCATGCGAACATTTCGACTCACTAATAATTCTTAGCTATTTATGCTAAATTGAACTTTTGAAGCATTAGCTTGCCGAACCATGCATCTGAAGTTTATGCATTAGTATGAAACAGATTTGGGAGATTTTGTTTTAAGTGGTACATGGTGGTGTAGGTTTTCATGTTACCCGTGCAAACTCTGGTTGTATTTGGAGAGTGTCCCTCCAATATATTTTCTCCGTGCAAAACTTGGGTCCCTTTGGTGCTCATTTGTTCTCAAATAAGATCGGATATCTTACAATTTACTGAATTTTACATTTTTCCTGTAGGTTAGATCAACATGGCGACAGCTGGATTCCGTTTGAAAAAAGACGACGGAGAGAGCAGACATGGAAAACAGGTATCTTCCAGTACCCACAAATGCAGCGAGTTTCCTAAACGGAGTGATATGAGGAGACACGTGAGGACTCACACAGGCGAGAAACCGTACCAATGTGGGGAATGTAACAAAAGCTTCAGTATGCTAGGTAATCTGAATAAACACATGCGGACGCACACAGGTGAGAAACCCCATAAGTGTGAAGAGTGCAGCCGACAGTTTAGCAGGCTGTGTCATCTGAAGGAGCACATGAGAACTCACACTGGTGAGAAACCGTACAGATGTGAGGAGTGCAGCAAGCAGTTCAGTGACCTGAGTAATCTGAAGAGACATATGCGGACTCATACGGGTGAGAGACCGTATCAATGTGAGGAATGCAGCAGGCAGTTCAATGAGCTGGGTAGTCTGAAGAAGCACATAAGAACTCACACTGGTGAGAAACCTTACAGATGTGAGGAGTGCAGCAAGCAGTTCAGTGACCTGGGTGACCTAAGGAAGCACATTCGAACTCACACAGGGGAGAAACCGTTCCGGTGCGAGGAGTGCAGTAAGCAGTTTAGTCAGCTGGCAAATCTAAAGAGACACATGCGGACTCACACTGGTGAGAAACCGTACAGGTGTGAGGAATGTGGCTGGTGTTTTCTTGAGCTAGGTGATCTATAGAGGCACGTTCGAACTCATACTGGTGAGAAACCGTACCAATGTGGGGAATGTAACAAAAGCTTCAGTGTGCTAGGTGATATGAAGAGACACTTGCAGATTCATACAGGCGAGAAACCGTATCGGTGTGAGGAGTGCAGCAAACAATTTAGTGAGCTGAGTAGTCTGAAAAAACACGTGCGGATTCATACAGGTGAGAAACCGTACAAGTGTGAGGAATGTGGAAAGTGTTTTCGTGGACTAGGTGATCTAAAGAGGCACATTCGAACTCACACCGGTGAGAAACCGTACAATTGTGAAGAGTGTAGCAAACAGTTCAGTGACCTGGGGAATCTGAAGAGACACATGCAGACTCACACAGGTGAGAAACCGTACAGGTGTGAGGAGTGCAGTCGGTCGTTTAGTACATTGTCAGATGTAAAGAGACACGTGCGGACCCACGCGGGTGAGAAACCGGAAAGATGTGAGGAGTGCAGCAGGCGGTTCACCACAAGCAGCAGTTTAAAGAGACACGTCGTGCGAACTCACAGAGCGCAGAAACCGTACATGTGTTAAAATGCAACAAAATCTTTCGTAAGAGTGACAACTGAAAACACCCCCACGAAAGAGTGATTAGAGTTAGAAGTGGTGTGCAATATGTAATACTGTAGTGTTTAGACAATAGTTACGTGGCATGACACCTTTGGTTTGTGCTATAGAACTTAGTCAACTATAAGTAGTTTTCGTTGTTTTAGTACCTGTAAATACACTAGATCTTTAGCGTTTGGTTACAGTTGCAGCATGTTAGTTAGTATTGCATGAAAATGTAATTTGTTTGTTTTACTGCAATTCTGTAAGGTAGATGTAGCTTAGAGTAAGAGATTTGCCAACTTTTTACATCCCAGTTTCAACAATAAAGCGCGTTATGTGCCGCATTGATTGGTCATCTTCGCTGTCGCTTTTCTATGCTCTACCTTTATTCCTAAGGACGTTGCTTTCTCATATGCAAATCAGCACACGTAACATGGTGCGTTCGCCATCTTGACCAAGTTGTCCTCTTTTCCTAATTAATAAGAATGTTGCCTTCTATTCGACTCATTTTAGATTTTTGATTTGTTGGGACTATAGAGGGTGAAAATTAGTGTTTTTTTAAGCTTTAAAGCTAGGTGTTTGATACATTTTCAAACTACTATGTCTATGATGGCCATTTCTGGACCTTTCATTGAATAGACAATGTAACCTTTGTCTGCCGACACAACATCCCCCATTGTGGCAATCGTTCCTTTGATCTCAGTTTCAACAATAAAATAAAACACATATTGTCTTTATCGTTATCGTCGAACTGATTGTATCTTACGTCCTATGGATTGTACCTTTATCTAATGAGGTTGTCTGATTTCCCTTATGCAAATCGGCACATGTAAAAAAGACCTTAGTTTCCTAATCAGGCAAAACCCACCGGACCGGTTTTATCCACCCACCCAGTCCCTATATAAACGCGCTCCTAACTGCTCTGTTTCTGTCAGTACTGACTCTGCAGCCGTGAGGATCTGTGCCGTCGTGAAAACATCGTGCAGTACTTTGGAGCGTCAGTGCATCTTGGTAAGTGCCGACCATGATTTCGTTTTCCTGTATCTAATTGTGTCCACTGTTAAGTCTCTCACATGTTGACTTACCTTTGTTACAACGTTTCCTGTGGTAGCCCTACTGTTATCATGTTCTTCATGCAAGCCAGTCACAACGACCAAAACGGTGGTGTGTATTTGTATGATATCCCGTGTTGTGATCAGATCGGATACATATAATGACATCTTTATATGAATTTTTTTTAGTCCGCACTATCAGAGTCTAAATTCCATTTAATATATGACATGTTATACTTGTTCATGCAGGGTTACGACAGGGTTACCAACATGGCAACCAGAGCTGAATCTCACCTGAAACAAGAGAAGGGAGAGCAGGATTCTCCGCGTACCCACAAGTGCGGCGAGTGTGGTAAGAAGTTTCGCTACCTGAGTGAGTTTAAGCGACACATGCTGACTCATACAGGTGAGAAATCTTACCGATGTGAGGAATGTAACAAAAGCTTCAGTCGTCATAGTAATCTGAAGGCTCACATTCGGACTTACACAGGTGAGAAACCGTATCAATGTGAGGAATGTAGCAGGTCCTTTAGTACGCTGGTTCAGCTGAGGAGGCATATCAGGACCCACACCGGTGAGAAACCCTACACGTGTGAAGAGTGCAGCATGCAGTTCAGCGATCTGGGTAGTCTGAAGAGGCACACGCGGACCCACACGGGCGAGAAGCCGTACAGATGTGAAGAGTGTGGCAGACAGTTCAGTGAGCTGACTAACCTGATGAGACACATGCGGACTCACACTGGTGAGAAACCGTACAGGTGTGAAGAGTGCGGCAAGCAGTTTAGTCAGCTGTCAAATCTAAGGACACACATGAGGAGTCACACAGGTGAGAAACCGTACACCTGTGAGGTGTGCAGCAGACAGTTCCACGGCGGTCTGTCACTACGGCATTCTTTCCCATTGCTATGCCCGTTCTAAAAGGTATCGGGTTACAACACGCTATTTTGGCCTGTTTTGGACTACCCGTAAAATATTTGAAAATACACAAATAATATTTAGGGGTAAATTTCATCAAATTAAAATGAAATTATCGTCTTAACATCCTTTAAATGTTAGCTTTTTATTTTAAATCAATGATTTTTTAAAATTTCGCTCAGAAAGACGATTATTTTCGGGTTTCCGAGCACAAGTCATGTCACGTTTTTAGGCAAACATCGTTCAAACCTGGCTACGTATATTACCCCAGATCCCCGATTTTTATATTTTTCGCAGACTAGGAATAAGATAAAAAATCGTGTTTTAGGGATTTTTTAATTTCTGATTTTAAGTCTAGTTTTTGTCGACATATTGGTGAAAAAATGGCATTTTTTGACATTTTTCTCACTAAATTACCCATAATTCAAAATTGAGGCCATTTTTCAAAAATCCCTAAAACACGATTTTCGGGACAGCCGTTACAGTCATTTTGAGCCGTAAATGGGGTATATTTGACTCTCCATGTTTCCAGGTTTGAACGAGTTTTGGAGACATGTCATATCGCCAGAAAGTGTGCATTGTGTTATTCATACTGGTGTAAAGAATCATTACAGTATTCGAGGTCACTCAAGGATACGACAGTAGCTTTGCTACATGTTACATGTCCACCAAAAATAATAGCGGACATGTACTGTCCAGAAAACTGTTTGTATCTATAGAAAAGTGTTGTTTTTTATCTGTTGCAATGCACGGAGGCAGAAAGGCTTGTTTTGCCGCTTTATAGTAAATGACCGCAGGTGACCCCGAAATAGAACGCGGGTTCGATTCGAATTGCCCAGATCGAACACGATCGAACACAGTTCGGGTTCTATGACATGTGGGAACTTTGCAGCCCAGATTTTACCACCGTGTTCAGTGATTTGGGCAATCTGAAGAAACATATGCCCACTCACACTGGTGAGAAACCATACAGATTTGAAGAGTGCAGCAATCACTTCACTACACTGTCAAATCTAAAGACACATATGCGGACTCACACTGGTGACAAACCGTACAAATGTGAGGAGTGTAGCAGGCAGTTTACTCAGTTGTCTACTCTAAAGACACATATGCGGACTCACACTGGTGAGAAACCGTACTCTTGCGAAAAATGCAACGAGAGCTTTCGATAATCACGTGATCTCACAACCCACATGAAAAC